GGCAGCTTTTCAGCGCTGGTGTACAGAGAAAGGTGTAGAGGCCACCTCATGCCCATTAGGTGGCGTGCTGTCCTTTCTACACAGCTGATGGACAGGAAGTTGGCATTCAGCACGATTAAAACGTACGCTGCAGCCATTTCTTCCTGCCACGAAGGGTTCGGAGACAGAACAGGTTTTAATCATCCGCTGATGAAGCATTTTCTAAAAGGTGTACAGAGACACAGGCCTGTTTCACGCCCACTTGTGCCACAGTGGGATTTAACGCTGGTCCTGCGAGCCCTGATCTAGCTCCATTTGAGCCTATGGATCAGGTTCCACTTAAATTCTTGTCTCTTAAAACAGCCCTGCTGCTGGCTTTAACATCCGCTAAGAGGGTGATTGATTTATCTGCCCTCTCTGTCGCTCCGTCATGTCTCAGAATTCAGGCTGACGGTAGTTCAGCTGATTTAAGACCAAACCCAGCTTTATGCCTAAAAACATCACGAGCTCTTTTAAATCAAGAGTGATATCGTTGGAGGGGTTTTTCCCTCCCCCCCCCACAGATCAGAAGAAGAAGCATCTTTCCATCTTCTCTGTCCGGTGCGGGCGTTGACGTGTTACATAGCGCGCACAGCTGTAATGCGTCAAACTCAACATCTGTTTGTGCATTATAGAGATGCATCTGCAGGTCGCCCGTTATCCACCCAGCGCTGGTCACACTGGTTGTGTGAGGCCATTTCTGAAGCCTACAGATCATCAGATCTAGAGCCTCCTGACAACCTCAAAGCACACTCGACCAGGGGTATCGCATCTTCGACTGCCTTGCATAATGGTATGACAATGCAGGACATTTGCACTGCGGCCACGTGGTCAACACCCTGCTCATTCATTCGCTTTTATCTACGTGATGTGACGGCTCGTTCCATGACACATTCTGTCCTTAGTGCTCTAACGGAATGAATATTGTTGTTTTTCATGGAACTCTGTTTAAGCTCACATCTGTCTGCATGCTTCACAGTGTGAGATGTTGTTATCAGTCACAAGTTGTGGTTGTGATTTTGGTTCTATTGTCACTAATCAGTTCATGACTATTGTTACCAATCAGTTCATTTGATTAATAATCCGTTCATTTGTTGTTATTAATCTGTTTATACTGTAGATGAACAGATGCTGAGATATATTCATCAATTAAAACGGATTCTTTCATTTTTCTGGACTGAATATAAACGTGCATTGAATTTAATGAAATGTGGACGTGAGACGTTAATTATCTTTGACTCACCACGACAGTGGGTCATTTATTAACAGAATCAAGTTTAACACATCAAACATTTACATTAATTTGGCAAAATATGAAAATAACAACATAATTAATCAGCAAGCTGTACAATTATGATCAAGTATCCACACGGCGGTGGATGAGCACTTTACACAGACATTTCTAAAATATCTGGAATGATTTCTACTTGATAGAAGAATTTAAAGATGGAAAATGAAGTTTAAAGGGAGTAAAAGATGGTGTGTGAGGGAGAGTGTTGACCAGAACCGACACTCTCCATTCGAACCCAGCTTTCCTCGGTACGCTCGGTAGTGAACTTGACTCGTTACCTCTCTGAAGATGAATCAGCGGATACGGAGTTCCAGTTAACGCTACCTGTCCAGCGTCTCCATAGGATGGCTGTGACTCGTCCGAAGTAGTGACGATATCCCGTCTGACACAAGTTCACCTCAGCCAGTGGACCTCACATGAGTGGGGTTCGTCCGAGTTCCACTCAGAGGGAATAGATGTTATAATCCCAATCTCGGAAGAGCCTTATCATGGCTGGACTTCTGTTCTCCCAAACGACTGGAGCTGCAAACTCTCCAGCCCGACTCCAACGGCAACTCACAGAACTGAAACTTCACAGAACTACTGCTCACAGAACTGCTACTTCACAGAACTGCCCCTTCACAGAACTGCTACTTCACAGAACTTAGAGAACTAGGAAGTACCGACATTTTAAAGGGCTCTATTTCCGGTTCATTTGGGAATCCCTGATTGGTCAATGTCGACCAGACAGGGGTGTGGTTTGTGACGTAAGAGGTTACTAGAAGTCAGAAAAACAGCAAGAATGTTATAGAACAGATTGAAACTGTTTTTCAGACAGCCGAGAGAAATGTTTGGGCGAGTTTGGAGAAACAGGTGCCAACTTCTCTGTTTACGTCTGAGAGGATTTAAAAACAAGACAGTTGTTCCAACACTTGTCTGCTTCGGCTCCGACCTTGGAACAAACGTACACTGCTCATTCAAAGACAGAAAATCAGAAAATGCATAATTACTCTGTAACAGGCCTTACATGAATTCTAACTTTGCATGAGGATTAAAAAATAATCATTGTTACTGTTTTACAGTTAATAAAATTGATTAGTTCACTGTAACATCTGAAATGTTTGAACTAAAACACTTTGATTATCAAACATTTGTAAAACAGTAATGATAATAGAAAAGAGAGTGTTCTTTCACTTGAATTTTCAAGAAAGAAAGTCTCAGGATGGGTGAACCTGTATTTCTGGATTCAAATCAATGAAATGACAGTTTCTGTCCCACAAGGTGCCTAAGGTCAAGGTTTCGACATCAGGCCTAGTCCACTACAATACTGTTCAGCCATGAATTAGTTGGTTCATGCCCCCCCCCCCCCTTTCAACATCTTCTCTTCCCGTTGAAATTTTCCGGGGCGTTCATGTTTTTTCAGAACGCATAGTTACACAACATGCGTCTGTGTATGGCACACATAACTACGCAACGCGTAATTATGCACATGGGGAGCTGAGTGACAAGACTTTTTTGGGCAAGCTTCTGCTTCATACTGTGTTCGAATGGACCCAGTGAGGCGAGGACCACATCCGCTTCGCCTTTAACCCACTAAGTGAAGGCCTTAAAGGGCGAAGCCTATACGACATAGAACGTTGGTTACGTACTGTAACCCCAGATTCTATGAGTATAGGCGTAGCTCTTTAAGCGTCGGGCCTCACTGGCTCCTGAATAGCTGAAGAAAAAATAAAGCTATTTGAGAGCCGATTACCCGCTCTTATGGATCGGGTGGGGCCCACACAGCAGGTGGGCGTGGACTAATTTTTTCAGTGTGATGCTTACGCATAACGGGATAAACCCACTAAGCGAAGGCCTTAAAGGGCTACGCCTATACTCATAGAATCTGGGGTTACAGTATGTAACCAATGATTTCACCTTATCGTTGTTAAATAGAGGGATTCATAATTCTTTGCTCTGAGCGAGCAGTAAAATATGAAGCTGAAATTTGTGTCTTCTTTCTCAGTTTTTGAGACTTTTATGATATTAACAGACCTGATGTTAGGGTTCACACCCACTTTTCATTTTTCATTTACCCTTTATTTATACAGGTAGTCTCATTGAGCCACGAGAACTCATTTTCAAGAGAGACCTGTTTAGGGAGCAGATTAAGTGCCTTGCTCATGGGCCCAGATGCTCTGAAAGATTCAGCTTATTTTAAAAATATTTGAAGTGCATTATCAATATATAATCCTTTAAAATATGTTGCAGGTGCTTCCATTTGTTATTTGATGACATGTGGTCATCCAGTCTGAAAACATGCTCTTTTACTTTTGCTTGTTTTTGATCGTATTTATTTTTTCTCTTTGCCACTCCAGTATAAAGCTCAGACTGGTGAAGAATCCAGCTAACAGTTGTACGCACAGTCCCTCGGAGTGGTCACACTGGTCTCCTTCTTGCATGCAACAGTTTGTGAGGACGACCTGCTCTTGGTAGATTTGCACATGTTCCATATTCCTTCCATTTCTTCAAGACACATTTTGAGGATGTCTCGAGCCTTGGAAATCTTTTTGCATCATCACTTTTCAATCTTATTTTCTCTGAGTTGAATTGGTGCAGTCACTTTAAAGTGGGTGAGTATTTACTTATATATCACTTGTAATCACATTATGTCACTTATTTGCTCATTTTCATATATATATTTGTAAGTGTTGCTAATTTATATTGACAATAGCTGATTTACAGCAATTAAAACAGAGTTACATCATAGTTGATTGGTGGAAATGTTTCTGTTTTAGTATTTGTCAGATTTATGTCTTGTTTGATGTTCAGAGCCTTAGTCCAGACTCAGGACTTGTCGGGTCAGACGGTGTCGTGTCATAAAGTGATGGTCTGCCAAAAGAAGTTGCGACTGTAGTTGTAAACATATTTATGCAGTGCACCTGCAGTGGCATGTCAGGGCTGTAGTCCAGTAGTACCAAGGTTGAGGGTTCAAGCCCATTGAGTCAGGAAGAACATCTGGTAAAAAGCAAAATGACTAACACTTTATGAAGTTTGATCACTGTGGCAACCCCTGAGAGTTGAATAATAGTTGCACCATTTAATTTGCATTTAAGTTTTAGCACAAATGACTGTTTATATAATGGGAGTTGCTGATTCCAATTACTGTGTGCACATGTGTCACTAAGTTGTGATTCCAAATGAAACTGTAAAAGTGATTTATTTTTTATTTTTATGACAGATATTCAGTGGCGGTTTATGAGGTGGCTGATGATTTCTAATATATACATGAAATTCATGTGGAAATATTTGAGGCTGATCTGATGATCCAAAACAGCCTGTTCAGTCTGCCTGGTTTTATTTTTCAATCTTTATTTCTATGAAAAACAATCAACAGCCTATAACAAAAATATATTTAACAATGCTGCACATAAAAACATAAAATTAAAATATATATAAACAGTGCAGGTGGGGGCTCATGACCAGTGTTCTGCAGGGAGTGTCTTGTTCAGCTGATTTAAACATTATGTTATATTGTTTATTATAATGTGTTATAAATGGAGGTCATTCTGAGACAAGTTAACATGCGCACTGGGTGTGCACGATGCAACCAGTTAAGCCGCTGGTGCGGTTCTTCAGTTTCCCATCTGGCAACACTGGTGCGTGATGCGCGGTGGGCGTGCAGCCAGCGTGAAGCGCGAGGCTGCGCAGAGCGACGCCACTCTCCAGGTTCACGCACCGAGGCGCGCGTGTCATTCCGTGAGTTGGACGCAGCAGCTTGTGAGACTTTACTGAATCTGTTTGATCTAAAACTTTTATTGACACTCAAATGATTGGAAACTTTTGACTGTAATGTAAGAACCATGTTAGATGCGTAATGATGTTAAAGTGATGGGGGGGGGGGGGGGGGGGTCTAATGCACTTTATTAGAATATCTTATTCATTAACGAGAGCTTAATATTTTGATTATTGACTATTATTTGCTCTCCATCCTTCAGATTAAATTCTCCTGCCATGGCGCGGATGTTGCTGCTGAGGACCTTCTCCTTCTGCCTGCTGGTGGTCCTCCTCCAGCCGGTCTCCTCTGGGGGTCAGGGGACGGGCGGCGGCTCGGTGGTGGCCCCCCGGGGCAGGTTCTCCACCACTGACCACATGCAGTGCACGTGGACCGCCAACGACACGGGAGACTCGGTGACTGTGCGGGTCCGATGCCAGAACCCGCAGACTCGGAGCGGGCTGCGGTGCTCGTACCGCGGCGCACCTCGGAGCTGCGCGGCCTTCCGCTCCGAGCCGCGGCGCTTCTGGAAGCAGGTGGGCCGCGCGCTCACCAAGCTCCGCGCGCAGCTGTGCAGCGAGGGCGCGTCGGTCAGGGCTGGCATGTGCCGGCGCGCGCCCGGAGACGCGCGCTTCGAGCTGGAGGCTAACTCCGTGTTCTCAGCTCGGACACCTGCCCCGGCTCCGCCCCCCAGCCCCACGTCCACGTCGTGCACGGGGCACGCGGACCACCGGAGCACCGCGGAGGAGTACTGTCGCGCGTGGGCCTCCGTGTGCTCCTTCCTCCTGTCCATGCTGCAGACTGACGCGTGTTAACAAGAACACGAGCTTTTTACAACCTCAGGTGTCTCATTATTATTATTTTTATTACTGAACCACTTTTAGAAAGTTAACATTAAACACAGTTTTACATAAATAAATCACTGCAGGTCACTCTTATCAGCTGTTTCTAACATTTGCTGCTTTACAGGAACAAAAGTACAAATTTGATCAACAGTACTGCCTCAGACTATTAATGTGGTACTTTTCAATATCTTTGATACAGTAGGTCATTTTTTGCAAACCTGCTTCTTCAGCTTGTGCAGGTTTGTGTAGTTTATACTGCACTGTAAATAGTAAATGTTTCAGTTCTTAAATATTTTATTAGGAGTACTGCTGTGTATCTGAATGTTTTTGTGTAGTGATTTTTTTCTACCTCTGAATGTTAATCAACCACTAAAATAACCTCTGTATTTATGCACCACAAATAAATGTTTGCTTTTTGTTTATTGCTTGTTGTAAAATGAAATAATCCCTCGTTTATCACGGGTGTTAGGCTCCAGGGGCTCGCCTGCGATAAGTGAAACACTGCAAAGGTATACTATTTATTTTAGTATTTATATATTTTAAGGCTTTATAAACCCTTCCCACACTCTTGCAATGTTCTAAACTCTTAAACCTCATTTTAACAACATACATACAGTACTGTATGTTTTACTTATCAGCTCTGATGCTCTTGGTTCCAGTCGACTCTATTCCGACTCGGTTTGGTTCTGCAGACCTAACCTGCAGTGACAAAGCCCACAATCCATCCTCTAAACTCTTAATTTTAACAACATTAATATATAAATTTTACTAACAAGTCCCCGGAGCTCTCAGGTTCACCGCTGAGTCTGCAGGTCTGGTTCTGGTGCAGTTGCAGCTCTTGAGCGCCGAAGCATATTTGGGGGGAGGGCAGACCTTCTGTTGGCTGGTGTGGGACTGGGGTTATTCATTTAAATTACTCAGGGGGTCACAGTTAATGAAAGGCAAAAGCTCGGGGGTTGAACATCCAGCAGTTATTGTCATTAAATAAGTTTGTTTTATGTTTTAAAATCTAGTTTTATTGAAAAATGGACCCAATGGTGGGCCGAACTGAGATCACCTGTGGGCCTGACTTGGCCCCCGGGCCACCAATTGAACAGCCCTGGTATAGGTGGTCGATTTGAGTCAAAGACTGGATGAAAAAAGTCCAGATGGTCTACAAAAACAGCTCCGGACTTTCGATGTGCGTCTGCACTTAGAAGTCCGCGTGGACCAGGTAGCAGCTCTCAAGATTCACTGGAGGTCTGGTTCTGAACCAGTTCTGGTTTGGTTCGGTGGGTTCAGTGGGGCTTCTTTGCATCTGCTGGGCACCGACCAGATCAGAACTTTACCTCTGTTTTTTTTAAGCAGAAGGAAATGGGGCTTCTGTGCTGGGCCCTGTTGCCTTCTGGGAAATGCGGTCGTTATGAATGGGAATACAGCGAAGGCTTACAGAGAGAAAACTACAAAATGGTGGCGCCTGTCCTAAGTATTTTATTTTTGTCATTACCTTTTTCACAACCACATGAGTACAGTGATACAGTGTAACAGTACAGTCCACAATCGCGAGTCTTAATTTTTTTTTTGTCCAATACGTGAACGTCCACAAAGTGCGATACAGCGAGTCCACGATAGTTGAACCGTAAAGTAGGGAGGGGCTTCTAGGGGCAGCTGAGGCTGAGTGGTTAGAGCAGTTGTCCTCCAATGCAAGAGCTGCGGGTTCAAGTCCACCAGCAGTCACATGCTGAAGTGTCCCTGAGCAAGACACTGAACCCCTCATTGCCTCCGATGTGTGTCCCATCGGTGTGTGAATGTGATAAAGCTCTGATTATTCTTTGTAGAGAACTAGTAGAGAGCTGTATGAATGGGTACATGAGGACACAGATTGTAGTGTAAAGAGCTTTGAGTATCTTGATCAGATAGGAAGGCTCTATATAAGTACAGACCAGTTACTGTATTGTGTATTTTACTGGGAGGTTTGTCCCTCATGGTTTTATTTCATGAATGCCTGCTATGACATGTTTTCTTTATCCTTGAAAGAACTGATGATTGTTAAAGCATCAGACCGTAACAGCCACATAACCAGTTGTGTTAAAGGCCAGTCCTGCCGCTGATCTCATCAGACTAATGTGAATGACTTTACCGCCGCATCAGCGATTATCTGTATATCTGCAAGAAAGTTAGACGTGACTATCTTTTTAAACTGGACTCACTCCTAAAGTTGATCAGCTTCATTAAAATCCATCCAGTGGTTCATGAGAGTTGAACCATTACACTCAGTTCAAAGCAAATGCCAAAAATAAAACTTATTCTAATACCTGTGCAGATTGAGGTTTTTTTTTTTTCAAACCATCACATTCCAGAGAATACCTAATAGGCTCTCACGTCTTTTCCCCATCATTAATAAATGCTTTCTGACACAAAACAGTCGCCTTGAATCACACGCTGTAGGGTTTCCTGTAACGCCTAAAAAGCTTATGTCAAGATAAAAGCTCACAATCCTCCAGAATGCTTTAAAGGAGTAAAGAGCCTAAAGAAAACTCATTGTTAATAATCATAAAGTCGTCCAAATCATGTCAGGCTGCGTGTCTGATCTTGTGCCCACATTTACCAACCTAAAGGCCTGTGAAAGCACCAGTCTTTAAGTTGATCCCTTTGAGGTTTGACATGGTTTCCTCTCATAAACTCTCCTCTCTCATCCTGAGGGGGGTTTATTGTCACTGTCTAACCCAAGAGATCTACAAATGAATTGTGTTCATGAAGACTTATTTAAAAAAAAAAATTAAATCCAAAAGCATTTAAGACTTTGATGGCAAAGCAAGAAGCTTTTGATTGACAAAAAGCTTTAACTTTTCATGGCTAGATACCTGAACTTTATGTAAGAGGCCAGTTTTGGCTTTTGGCCAGACCATGTGACTCATTCTTTGGTTACATGTTCAGATAATAAAGAGCACAGTTATAATAAAGAGGATGAAACGGCTCACTGCTCAGAGCTTGCTGTTCCTCAGCTAATGGCACTGAGTGAGCCTGGCTGGAGTAAAACCAACTCCAGACTTGGGGTGATTGAGAGCCATTGTTTGGACTTCACAGCTTCAGCCTCTGATGAAAGATGAGCTGCGTGAAACAAAATCAGAACCAAAACTCTCTGTTCCACTGAAGAACCCAGGGTCTGACCTACAATGAACACAAACAGGAGGCAGCGAGGTGGGAGGAGCTGGAGCCATTGTTTTCCTGAGGTGGTCTGACCCTCCACACCCTGCCATTTGGAGCCTGTTATTGGCTGCCCGTTGCCACGGCAACAATCAGCAGCTGACTCTTTGGTGAAAAGAAAACCAGACAGAGGTGGCGTGGTGTAACAAAACCTGAGAAGTACCCCTCCTTTAACTTAACTGATGCACTGAAGCACAGAGGAAAAAGATTCTGGTATAGGCCACTCTTAGTAAAATTAAAAACAAAAAAAACGGTTGAAGAAAATACTCAGAGCAGGGACTTGTCTTTGTTATTGTCCAAGAAAATAGACAACTAATTTTTGGAAATATTCAAATGAGGGGGAACACATACATATATCGATCCATCGATTGACCTATCTATCTATCTATCTATCTATCTGAAAGTTGTTGGATTGTATACCTGGATTACTGCGCATGGACTTTTTTGGTATATATATATATATATATATATATATATATATATATATATATATAGAGAGAGAGAGAGAGAGAGAGAGAGAATTTAGAAAATCTAAACAAGTTCCTCATTTTGCATTTATATTGATTTAAATTTTGTTAAAGTTCGTCTCTTCATTTGATCAGATTCTACACTTTTCTTTTGTCCCATCCAATATTTTAATACCATCTCCATCCTTCCATCCATATACATATACTTTACTGTGCCAATAGCTTGATTACAGTGCCTTGCGAAAGTATTCAACCTCCATGAACTTTTCAACCTTTTGCCACATTTCAGGCTTCAAACAAAGATAAAATTTTAATTTTTTGTGAAGAATCAACAACAAGTGGGACACAATCCTGAAGTGGAATGAAATTTATTGGATGTGTCAAACTTTAACAAATAAAAAAATGAAAAGTGGGGCGTGCAATATTATTCGGCCCCTTTCAGTGCAGCAAACTCACTCCAGAAGTTCAGTGAGGATCTATGAATGATCCAATGTTGTCCCAAATGACTGATAAATAGAATCCATCTGTGTGTAATCAAGTCTGAGTATAAATGCACCTGCTCTGTGATAATCTCAGGGTCCTGTTCAAAGCACTGAGAGCATCATGAAGACCAAGGAACACATCAGGCAGGTCCGAGATACTGTTGTGAAGTTTAAAGCCGGATTTGAATACAAAAAGATTTCCCAAGCTTTAAACATCCCAAGGAGCACTGTGCAAGCAATCATATTGAAATGGAAGGAGTATCAGACCACTGCAAATCTACCAAGACCCGGCCGTTCCTCTAAACTTTCATCTGGAACAAGGAGAAGACTGATCAGAGATGCAGCCAAGAGGCCCATGATCACTCTGGATGAACTGCAGAGATCTACAGCTGAGGTGGGAGAGTCTGTCCATAGGACAACAATCAGTCGTACACTGCACAAATCTGGCCTTTATGGAAGAGTGGCAAGAAGAAAGCCATTTCTCAAAGATATCCATAAAAAGTGTTGTTTAAAGTTTGTCACAAGGACCTGGGAGACACACCAAACATGTGGAAGAAGGTGCTCTGGTCACATGAAACCAAAATCTAACTGTTTGGCCACAATGCAAAACAATACGTTTGGCAGAAAAGCAACACAGCTCATCACCCTGAACACACCATCCCGTCAAACATGGTGGTGGCAGCATCATGGTTTGGGGCTGCTTTTCATCAGCAGGGACAGGGAAGATGGTCAGAATTGATGGGAAGATGGATGGGGCCAAGTACAGGACCATTCTGGAATAAAACCGGTTTGAGTCTGCAAGAGACCTGAGACTGGGACAGAGATTTATCTTCCAACAAGACAATGATCCAAAACATAAAGCCAAATCTACAATGGAATGGTTCACAAATAAACGTATCCAGGTGTTGGAATGGCCAAGTCAAAGTCCAGACCAGAATCCAATCGAGAATCTGTGGAAAGAGCTGAAGACTGCTGTTCACAAACGCTCTCCATCCAACCTCACTGAGCTCGAGCTGTTTTGCAAGAAAGAATGGGCAAGAATTTCAGTCTCTCCATGTTCAACACTGATGGAGACAAACCCCAAGAGACTTGCAGCTGGAACTGCAGCAAAAGGCGGCGCTACACACAAGGGGGCCGAATAATATTGCACGGCCCACTTTTCAGTTTCATTTGTAAAGTTTGACACTTCCAATTTCATTTCACTTCACGGTTTGTCCCACTTGATTTTTCAAACTTTATTTTTGAAACCTGTAATGTGGCTACAGGTTGAAAAGTTCCAGGTGGTCGAACACTTTCTCAAGGCACTGCACGTTTCAGTTTTAACCTTTAGTCGACATTCTTTTCCATGTGGGGGAATTCATGTGCTCCTTTTCACTGAGGTATACCTCAAGGGTCCATTTCGGGCCCCGCTTTGCTTATACAGTACATGCCGCTTTTGGGCTCAGTAAAGCACAACATTAATTTCCACTGCTACGCAGACACTTCCTTTTAAATTTGATTTCTCTGCATCATCTCAGCCTTTAACAGTTTATTAAAAATTGTTTGGATTAGAACGGTCTGATCCCGAACTGGGGTGGAGACCCAGACAAGTCATTTTATTTGAAAACAGTCTTTGGGTGTGCCGAAACTCTGGATCCTCATCTTTCCTCGGTCAAGAATCTTAGATTGTTTAGACAATTTTTTGAAACTGAAGCAAACATCCTCAGTTGTCAAAACCAGTTATCAGTTGCGTCAAATGTCCAAAGCAAAACCTTTACATTAAAGACTTCAAAACTGTTACCCACGCTCTTGTCAGCAGACTGGACAATAATTCTTTGGAAGAATCTTCATTGGCTGCAGTTAGTCCAGAATGCTGCACATCATTCAACAGGAGGTACAAGGCAGGACCACACCGTTTTAGCAGATTTACCTTTTTTGTACCAATTTTAAGTTTCAAAAGGCTTAACGGTTAATATATCCTTTGAATTTTTATAATCCAAAAAGAGCAATGAGATCCTTTAGTGTGATGCTTTTAGTGCAGCCAAGGACAAAATAAAAAAAATTTAACATAATTTTAAACGTGCTACAGAAATAAAGTTTATCGACATTTGCTGCCCTCCTGGGGCCAGAAAGCTTCAGCGCATGTTAACTGGAAACATGCGTTTAGAGAAAAAGAAAAAAAACCCACACACACCTTAAACATTTAAGTGAAACATTTTTAATATTTCATTTACTGGTTCTGCCAGACAAAGTGCAAACATTGATGTGAAATCAGGTAGAGACAGGTTATTAGTGGACCAAAAGCTGCATTTAAATGTTAGCTACCCTTATAATAGTTTAAGAGCCCTGACGAGGACTAATAATCTTGATATAAAAAGGAGGCACTTCAGATGTGTTCATGATTGTCGTCGTCATGGTTATGCATCGTCTCCACCACAGAGCAACAGTAAAGCCTTTCTGTAGTCACCACTGGTATCTCCCTGAAACAACCAAAGAGGAAACAGTTTGCACATTTGTTCATTTTTAAATGATAAAAAAAAAAAAAAAAAAAAAAAAAAGACACGGGACTTTAAGTGTACCTTGATCATGGAATACAGAGAGCGAGCGAACATCTTCCTGAACTGAGCTCTGATGTCCAACATGTCCACCTCGCTACGAGTCACCATCACCCTGATCAGGGTGTCATCATCGGTTCCTGCACCCTGAAACAAAGACGTCATGATAAACCTCTGAAACGTCAGAACTACAAGTTCCTGCAGTCCTCACAGGACAACATGGACATGTGGGAAACAAACATGAACATAGAGCTGAGGGGAAGTTAAGTTGAAGTTACTAAATTAGACAGGCAAAAATGCTTAAATAAAACTGGATCAGTTTTTATTTAAATAAGTGATGACATCTGGAAAAAGTTTTGAAAACTGACAATTTTAAACTTTTAAGACACCTTACAACATTTGTTACAGAAAATGGTCTTTAGTAGTTAGTTTATCTAGTAAGTTTCAAAGAAAAAAAAAACAAAAAAAACAAAAACCACACGTTACTGCCCTCCATGAAGCGCAGATGTTCATCATCACCTATGTTTGTTAGTAAAATATTTCATGAACCACTTGACAGATTTGAATGAAACTTAGAAATTCATTTAAAATCTGCAACTCCTTAACTTTGGAGTCAGTTTGCTTCAAGATGGCTGCCACAGTAGACTTTTAGAAACAAATTGCTTTAAGTCTGCAATTCTCCACAGAGCTGAAATTCAGTGTGGAGGTAGCTGAGAGTCATCTTCAACACAAACTGAGCACCCACTAATGTGTACATAGAGCTCTGGTGGAAAACAGGCACCAGTTCTGACAGTAATGGTTCAGATTGTTCTTACGTTCATGGCATTGTACAGGGTCTCGGCAAAGTAGGCTGGAACGCTCCTGGCGCACTTCACTTCAAGAACAAACAGGGACGGGCAATGAGTGAACAGAAATCTGAAGTAATCTCAACAGATTAAAGTTTTTCATACCAACTGCGAGGAGCAGAGCTCTCAGGTTTCCAGAAGTTTCCCTCTTAATGCTCTCCTCTATCTCGTATCCAGACAGCTTCATGTAAGCATCAAATACTGAAACACAGGCTCAGAATCAGTGACGACATCCTCGTAAAGCTCTGACGAGCAGCCTCACAGGAACGCTCATGCAGCAGTAAGAGTTTGACCATTATGTCAACAATCTCTGTATGAAACATTGTGGAAAGTTGTTTGCAGCATGCAGATTGTTAATCTTTACAAGGCTTATCGGGTAAACACATCACAGCTAATCACTTCATGTTTCAGACATGAACCTTTTCTCAGATGTTCAGGGCTCCGATTGCCCAGGATGGTGACAAACGACTGTTCGTCAGTTCCAAACTTCTGCTCTCCCGCTTTAAACAGGACCTGTTAACACAACACAAGAGCCGACTTACAGTCTGTACACACAGCGCACAATTCTTTACAAGTCTGACATTATGGAAGGACAACATCTGAATAAAATGACTTCAGTCAGTTTAGTAAAATATGAAGAGCTTTAACTGATGGGAAAGCTTCCAGTGTTTACAACTTCAAGTACTTCATGCAGCTGATGACTCTTAATAGAATTAGTCAGGCAATGGGTAAAATACTGTGCATTGAACACACAATTATGTTTAAAGCTGCTTAAAGTCCACAACGTTACAATTCCCAGATTCAGATTCAAGTGTTGGATACATGTTAACTTTAAAACAAAATAAAACATGTCTGCATCATTAATCTTCTCAGCAAAAGCAGCATGCATGTTCTTTAATGTTCCTCACCTGAGCATCGCTCTCAATGTTTCCTTCCTGGATTCCAGTCTGCCTGTTTCCCTGAAAGACGTAAACAACTTGTTAAATTAAATGTTTAAAGATGTCACCCCCACCACCTTGCATGCCAGACTTAATCACCCATTAGATTCTAGCACTCTGTGCATGATTGGATCAGTCTCAGCTACTACTAAACCAAATTTTAGCTCATTGTCTGAAACAAGAGGAACTTCAGGCGTACCTGAAGCAGAATGACCAGCAGTCTCTTGAAGTGACCGGAAGTGTCACCAGATACATCCTTCTCCAGGTCTTTATCGTATGCTGAGGTAAACAAACAGATACACAGCTCATACACAATGTAATTTGAGTGACCTTTGGTTTACACTCAACTTTAAAAGCCGTTGCTCATCTCTGCACGTTACAAATAAGCGGTCAGAGCAGAGAAACTGTTGGTCTTTTGTACATACATGAACAAAGCACACCAATTAATTTTCAGCTCTTTGTGCACTTAAACAAGGAGAGTCATACGACCCGAGTCCAAACTGCCTTGTGTTAACCTAAATAGAAGGCTTTGAGCCGATTGTATTGTTCTGCAGCTGCAGGTACTGAACCACCTTACTACAGGAGGTAAACTGCACAGCCACAATGATTAATTTAATGTTTTGTTGTTACCCTGTTTGTAAGCAGCAACGATATCCTTCACCTGCTGAGGCGTTCTGGAGGCGAGAATCTGCACAAGTACCTTCTCATCTGTTCCTGCCCCCTACACGACAAAGGGAAATCAGTACATTCATGTCCAGAACTGAAGACATCACTCCTAATGCTGTGGTCTCCTTCACGTACTCTCCTGCTAAATAATGCAATATACACAGTTCTGCTGCAAGGAGGCCAATACTGATCATTTGGAAATTTGCAGCTCCACCTACTTATTCAAGCTGATTAGAAGTACAATATTCTTAAACTTGGGGGGGGGGGGGGGGGGGGATGCAAGACCAAAAATAAAAAAAATAAAAAAATATAAAAATAATTATTTTTTTTTA